AACAGAATAAGCCATAAACATGAGCTGCTACGTGCCAGCTTGCAACTTTTTCCTCAGTATTACTACCTCCAACAAAATGCATATTTTGTAAAATCTCCAGCCATGGCTAAGCAAGCAACTTTCAAGCTATAGGAAGAAGGTGGGAATTTGGTGAATGCAATTACGTGTTTAGTAGCACAACTTCAATAGCAATACATGTCACCGTGATAAACTAGGAAAAATAGTAATAAAGATTAGAACATTGAGAAGGAATAAGGTAGTAACTAATAGTAAACAGTTGCCAACAAGATCTCCATAACTTGCCTTCTAAACATTGAAAAATTACGGTATAGAGGAGCAAATTGGTTGAGCTTAGGGTCATTCTGGACACTGGGGGCATTCTCTATGAGGGATCTTGCAAGTATTAACTCTTGATCAGTACCTTTACTCCACAGTGGTCTCTACAGAGGAAATGCAAAGAAAATGGAAACAATTGAATTCAGATGAGCAACAACAAAGAAGACAGAAGATTAAGCTTCTGCTATGGAATTCAGATCTTACACGGTCAAACTAAATAATAGATTCACATACCATTGAATGATAGGAAGTGAGACTCTGAAGAAGCATATCATTCATCTTTGAAAGTGACACCACTGCATCTTCAGGGCTATCTTTCACTTTGGGGATTGCATTCCTAGAAGAATAATTGACTGAAGGAGCAAGATCAGTTTTCAGAAATGCAGGAATGCTAGTTTTCTGAAGTGCATTGGTAGCGTCTTTGTCCATGGAAGATGGTGAATCTGATGGTTGCAATGCATCTGAAGTGTTTGAAAGGCTGCTATCCAAGATGTCATTTCCAACTGATACTGGTGCAATATTTCGTCCCTCAATTCTGTCCAGTGAAATGTTATTATTTGAAGTAGCATTTGAATCTGATGCTGGTACAGTTTGATTAGGCTCCACAGCCTTCTCTGGTGCTAGGCTAGGATTTTCTACTACCTCTGCCGCTGTTGAGTTGTGGTTCATATCAATGAAGTCCTTCGATGGATATTCATCTTCAGGGTCACTATCAGCAACCACATCTAAGGAGTCATCAGAATGTTTTGCCTTTGCATCTGTTCCGTCGAAAAGCTCAGTTACATCACTACCCCCGTAAGAGGTGCTAGGGTCTGTGTAATTTAAGCTGTTAGAAAAATTCAAGCTTCCATCAACCAATGACTTCCCAACATAGAAGCCACTTGATGAATTTCCTATAGAGGAGTTTCCCACTGATGAAACTTCAGCATTGCCAGACAAAAATAAGGCCAAAAAAGCATTTCCATAAGGAAGCTCAAAATATTGCACACAGAAAACCAGAGCAAATAACACTGCAAGTAGCCATAGCAGCCTCCTGCTTTCGATCAGGCTTGTGAGTCGATATTTGTTCATATTAAATCAGCAACTGAATCAACATCAGCTCTTCCACCTCTGCACAGATCCCGAGTAACGCTATTTGTTAGTCACTCTGACCTTGCTTTTCCACCGTTTTCAACTCATTTAATTCCACACTAGTATGCGAAACATCAAAGAGATACAACAATTCTGATCTCTAAGCAGTAACTAATCCACCATTAAAACAAATCAAATAAACAGGATCAGAATTAGACAATGCCGGCAATGGTTACCTCCTTTGTAGTTATTCTTCAATAATTCCAGTTGCTTGGAATAAACCAATTAGAATATACAGATTATAAAAGTTGAGCCGGCCAAACAAATGAGTGAGGTCTTATTAACCAATGAACCATCTTCAACGCTTAACTAATCCTTAAACAATTTTGCTATACTTGCATTTATTCTATACTTTCAAGATTTCCATTCCCTTTGAATTCAACAAATAGGAACATGGACTACAACAAATAAAATGGGCTACACCAACAAACCACTTCACCGTCAAGAATAATAATGATAACAATAATGAATGGAAAGAAAGATTCCTTGACAACCCAGAACTGTTTTAGCATAAAAAAAAAAACAGGCACATAACAAGAAAAAAATTCAAGAAAATTAAAACCCCTTAAAAATTCGAAAAACCCAGATGGAATAGAAGCTCAACTGACCTGTACAAGCTGGGAAAGACAAAAAATTAGTGAAACCAGAAGAAATATGCTCCTATGCAAAGGCCAAAATTCAGTTATACCACAGAGAAAGTTTCAAGCCCCAAAAGAAGAAAGAAAAGAAGAGAAGAAATTTACAGGCCTGAGAATTGAGAAATATAAAATAGTCATGTACTAATTGAATATTATGAATAGGATGAGCTGACGGCTTACCAAGCTTCATTTTCCAATTGACAACTTGGATGTTACTTTACTACAATCATATGCCTACGTCACTGTTGTCAGCCTGTCCCACACGCGGGTGTCGGTGCGTGTACATCTTGTATGAGTATTTTTTTTTTTTTTTTTTGGAGTGAAGTAGAAGTTGAAGATAAATATGTACTCTTGAAATAATAAAAAAAATTAGGAAAGGAAAGGAAAGAGAAGCCACTGGAACTTTGTTAATTAGAAAATTGATAGTTTTTGGCTTGATTTAATTTTTGTTTTGTTTTTTGTCCAAATAGTTTGATAAGTGATTGATGGATAATATTACACGTTTTAATTTTTTAATTTTTTTTTTCAAAAGATAGACATAACTTATTCCATAAAAGACTGAGTAAGATGGCAATCAAATCAGTGATTAATTCAAAGCTCTCAAATTCCCGAACCATCCAATTTTATTTGGTGCCCAACTCCCCGAAATATTTTTCCCAGAATCCTCTTTTTGAAAAAAAAAAAAAAGAATTAAGAAGAGCAAGTTATTAAAAAGTTAAATAAAATGTAGAAAATGAAGTTTGAAATTTTTTTTTTTAATCATTTTTTCCCTCAATTCCGTAGCCCTTGGCCATGTTATTAAAACCTAAATTTGCTAGAACCTCCAAAGGATCGTTTTTATCAACAATTGATAAAAACGCACACATATACACGTTATATCTGTCCTTTGATATATATAAGGTAAAAAGGATTGAAATATGTGATTACAAAAAATGCAAATTTTTTTTAAAGAAAAAAAATGCAATTCAACAAAATATATTTTTATGTGCTTATTTTCTCAATTTCGTAGCCCTTGGCCATGTTATTAATCATTTTAAATCAAAAAAACACACACACACACACCCCCGTATATACACACACTACTGTGTCTGCCCTTTGGCAGATTATACTACACTACTTCACACGACTAGTAGTGGCCTAGTGGGGAAGGAAATCAGGAACACCATTAATGTAGAAAGCCGAATCTGTGTGGCGGGGTTCTGGGTTGGATTGTTAATATGCTATTTCAGATCCTCTTGGGACTTTCAGATGTATTGGGAAAAGGCTCCCATCATTACCGGCTTTTTGCACCCATTATGAAATTGAAGTCGCCAAAAGGCTGCTTATTGGCTTATTGCCTCTTGGGACAGTGACAACTCAATTTGCAAATACTACTCCCTTCCTCCCATTTTAATAATTTTATTTTTCTTTTTCATCTGTCCCAAATTATAACCCACTTTCTAATTGAAATTGAAGAATATAGTTATTTTTTAATTTTTCTAAAATACCCTTATTCAATGTAAGTTGTTGTTACTATAAATCTATCCAATTTAATGAGAGTTGACTCTTTTTTTACCATCAATTCAAGTTTCTATTTAATGTGAGGGTATTTTAGGAAAATAACAATTTAAATTTACTTTTCCAACAAAATTAACTATTTTTTCTTAAACTATATGAAACAAGAAACAGAACTATCAAAGTGGGACGGAGGGAGTGTCAATTATGTCTTATTCCACTACAAATACAAAAGCATATACTTTCAAAAAAACACAAAATGAAAAAGATAATCTATAGTTTCTAGGATAGAAGTCTTGCTTAATTCTTTTTTTTTTTTTTGGCTAAAGATGAAATGTCTTCGTTGATTTTCTTTTATTTTACTTGTTTGCTAAATATGAGTATCTTAATTATAGAAGAAGGAGATAGTACAAGGTTATTTTTTCTCATTATCTTTTATGTATGTATATAGTATATTATTTCTCACACATAACCACATTTTCTCTTATTTGCTCGTATAACATATAATGTATAGCGAATAAGAAATTAAACTACAACCTTAGATTGCTTTTTTTTTATCTCAAAACTAATAATGTAAATAAAAAATGATAGAAAGCAAGCGATAAAGAGAGGTGCTTTCCTTTTCTCTTTTCAAATCAATGCTTTAAATGCAAAGTCGTAATAACAATAAATTCTGATGGTGCAAGTAAAATAGCGACAATTTTCATTACATTTCTGGTGTTGGAATTGGATACCATGCTTTCCTACAGTGTCTTAATAGATTCATGAACACTATGACCCCAATGTTCGTTCTGATTTAACATTTTTCCTGAAAAGAAGAGGCAAAAAAAAAAAAAAAAAAAAGTGAAAAAGTGAAGTATGTTAATCTTGTGATTGTCCACTTTTAACTTTGTAGTGGGGGAAATCTGCACATGACACGTGTCAGCTCGGCAAGTTGTACGCGCTGGGTCGGCGGGGGTACCAGCTCGGCATGCGGGTGCCAGCTCGGCCCTACCTGTTGCTCCCTAAGATGGGCCTATGGGCCGCCGCCTCCGAACTTGTAAGAGCCGCCGCACGAAACCCTAAGGAGACTCCGAACCCTAAGGGGACACTGACTCCAACAAGGAAACTACAACCATTCCGCTCTATATATAGCGAGCGTAAGGACAATACAAGGTACGCCAAACACAAGTATTCTAGACTATTGCTCCGTATACAAGCTCACTGACTTGATCGTCGGAGATATTCCGGGGACACCCGTCCCGCACTTGATCTTCCTTTGTAGGTGCGCTAGCTCGGTTTCCTCTCTCAGGTCGATCGCGCCTGCTCAGCTCGGCTCGCTACAGCCCAGCTCGGATCTGGTTTTTGGCAGTCGCATCAATTGGTGCCGTCTGTGGGAACAAGTAACTTCTCTTGCGAATCATGCCAAAAACGAGGTCTCAGAGGAATGCCGATGGCTCTAAGGGGAACGGAGGAAGCGGCCCCCAACAGTCTGCCCGGAGTCCGACCCCTGGAGGGGAGGGGACGGGACTCTCGCGGATTCCGCCGGAGCAACTGGTTCAGGCGGTAGCAGGAAACCTGCCCACTTTCGAGGCCATTGTGAATTACCTCAGGGGGCAGACAGGAGGGCCTCTGGGCCAGGAGCCGAAAAACTCGGAGGGTCCAACCGAGTCCAGGGCGGGGAGCCCCAACCCCCAGCTCAAACGCGTGCGCCGGGAGCCCTCAAGTGAGCACATCGACATGGGGGAGCCCACTCACAAGCACTCTCGAACTGAGCACCCGGAGCCCGTCCGGAGGTATTCTAGGGATGAACCCTCACCTCGGAAAGAGCAGCTCCAGGTGCAGGACGAGCTGGACCTGCTCTTGGATGCCGAGGCGGACAGGTACATCGCGTCCCCTTTCGTGCCTGATATAGAGAACTATCCACTGCCCGCAAAGTTCAAGATACCCAACATGAAGCCTTATGATGCGACCACGGATCCGGAGGATCACTTGTTTGCATTCCTGACCCAAATGCGTCTGCAAACTGCCGCAGATGCGGTCAGGTGCAAGACTTTTCCCATGTTTCTGGAGGGGAAGGCACGTCAGTGGTTCCAGGGGCTTCCCCCCAGGTCCATTAGGTCCTTTGCTCAGCTTGCTCGGCTGTTTGCAGCCCAGTTTGTCTCATCACGAGCCTTCTCCAAAAGCACGGCGCACCTAATGACCATTCAACAAAGGCCTGAGGAATCCTTACGCGAATACATGGTGCGTTTCAATAACGAGTCCCTTCAGGTCAGGGATCGCGATGACAAGGTGGTTATGGCAGCCTTCATTAACGGGCTGCGCAAGCAGAAGCTCTACACCGAACTCGTAGAGAAACCTCCCAAGTCGGTACGGGAAATGCTGGACCGAGCTCATGAGAAGGCCAATGCGGAGGAGGCTAACCGCCTTAAGAGCGCACAAGAAAGGCTGAGGGATGACAAACGTAGGAGGGGAGCCGACCAGGTGGAGACTCGTCCCAACCAGGGAAGGAAGAGCACCTACGATCGCCTCCCTAGAAGCCGTCCAAGTGGAGGAGATAAGCCCTGGACTAGCCTCACCGCACCTCGAGCTCGGGTGCTGGCGGTCATGGAACAGGAGGGGCTCTCCCGACCTCCTCGACCTTTGGGAGGGGACAAAAGCAGACGGGACCAAGGGTTGTTCTGCGCTTATCATCGAGATGTGGGGCATGACACGGAGGACTGCCGTCACCTCAAGAAAAACATCGAGAAACTAATCAAACGAGGTCATCTCGGGCAGTTCATACGAGAGGACCGAGCTGACCAGCAACGAGGGAGGTCCAGGTCAGAACGACCGAGCTACCTCCGGGATCGACCTCAGGGGACTCATGGTCGAGCTCCTGAACAGGAAACGCAGAATCTGGCCGGGGTGATTAATACCATTGCAGGAGGACCGGCTGGCGGGGATAGTCATACAGCTCGGCAGCACAATCGACCTCCCCCGCGGGGGAGAGCTCGGCCAAGCGTCTGAAGATGTATGAGGAAATTATCTATGGACCAGAGGACGCAGTCCCCCTGGCCTCCAACAATCATGAAGCTATTGTCATTGAGGTCATCACCTGCAATTACAAGGTGAAGAAGGTATACATAGACAACGGGAGTGCTATAGACGTGCTGTATTACAAGACTTTTAAAGAGCTGCAGCTGGAGGATAGGCAGCTGGTCCCGGTTCGGACTCCATTAATCGGGTTTGCAGGCCCTCCCGTGAGACTAGAAGGAATGATCACCCTCATGGTCACGGTCGGAGTATCCCCGAAGTGCCGAACTGTTCCGGTAAACTTCGCGGTGGTTAAGGAGCCGTCGTCATACAATATGATTTTGGGACGGCCCACGCTGAATGCCCTCCGAGCTGTCTGCTCTACGTTGCACCTCAGCATGAAGTTTCCTACTCCCGAGGGCGTGGCTGAGGTGCTCGGAGATCCGGAAGTGGCCAGGGCATGTTACATTGCTACCCTCAAGGGCAAAGAGAAGTTAGTAGCTCAGACAGTTTGCTTAGAGCCCTGGGAGCCCATGGAGAAGGGAGAGAGATTGGAAACGGACGAGGGATTAACCGAGCTGCCCGTCCAGGCCGGCCGACCTGAGCGCACTGTGAAGGTCGGCATGGGCCTAGCCGAGCTGGTCAGGAGTTCTTTGGAAGCTCTCTTGGAGGAATATGCTGAGATTTTCGCTTGGAGTGCTGATGACATGCCAGGAATCCCCACCAAGCTGGCGGTTCATAGGCTACAGGTGGATCCCGGCGTCCGACCTGTGAAACAGAAGAAGAGGAACTTTGCTCCTGAACGAAAGGAGGTCGTCAAAAGCGAGGTGAGTAAGCTGCTGGAGGCCAAAATTGTTAAGGAGGTCTACTACCCGACCTGGTTGGCTAATCCGGTGCTGGTCAAAAAGGAGGAGAAAGCCTGGAGGATGTGTGTGGATTTCACAGATTTGAATAAGGCTTGCCCTAAAGATTGTTACCCACTTCCCCGGATTGACCAGCTCGTGGACTCAACAGCGGGTTATGAGATTTTCTGTTTCTTGGATGCTTTCAAGGGGTACCATCAGATAGCCTTGGACGAGGAGGACCAGGATAAGACTTCGTTTATCACTGAGGATGGCACATATTGTTACGTCACCATGCCGTTCGGTTTAAAGAATGCAGGCGCAACCTATCAAAGGCTGGTAAACAAGTTGTTCAGGAATCAGATCGGTCGAAACCTGGAGGTTTATGTGGACGATATGTTGATAAAAAGCCGAACCCAGGAGCAGTTCGTCTCCGACCTGAGGGAGATTTTCGAGGTCCTTCGACACTCACGAATGCGGCTAAACCCGAAGAAGTGCACTTTCGGGGTCAGGTCGGGAAAATTTTTGGGGTACATGATTTCCAAAGAAGGGGTGAGAGCTAACCCAAACAAGATCAAGGCTATCATGGACATGGCTCCACCCCGGAATATCAAAGAGGTGCAGCGTCTGACAGGAAGGATGGCTGCCTTGAATAGGTTCTTGTCTAAATCGGCAGTTCGGGGGTCGCCTTTCTTCAAAGCCCTGAAAGGAGGTCGGCAGTTCGAGTGGAACCCGGAATGCCAGAAGGCGTTTGACGAGCTTAAGGAGCACCTCGTTCGATTGCCAGCTCTGACCTCTCCCGAGGTGGGAGAGACCCTGTTCATCTACTTAGCTGCGGGAGAGGGGGCTGTAAGCGCAGTGCTGGTGCGAGAGGAGGACAAGTTACAGAAGCCAGTATATTATGTCAGTCGCGCCCTGCAGGGGGCCGAATCCAGGTACTCGGCGATAGAGCGATATGTCTTGGCGCTAGTTCACGCAGCTCGGAAGTTGAGGACCTATTTCCAAGCTCATCCCGTGGTAGTCATAACGAACCAGCCCTTGAAGCAGATCCTGTCCAAACCCGAATCTTCAGGTCGAATGGTAAAATGGGCGGTGGAATTGTCTGAGTATGACTTGGGATATCAGCCCAGGACGGCCATCAAAGCTCAAGCACTAGCAGATTTCATAGCAGATGGCATCTCTTTTGGGTCGACTGGAGGGGAGACAGACCAGACCGGACCGAATAGGGAGGTTAAGGACGCGCGCGCCGCCAGAGCCACACAGATCCCGGAGACTGCCAAGGCCGTACAGATCAGAGAGGTAGCCGAGGTCCCACGGACCGAAAACGCTGCTGAGGTCGCCCAGGCCAGTCAGGTAGCAGAGGGCGGATCGACCAGAGAAGCTGGGGAGACCGGACCGGCCCAAGAGGCTGCAGAGGCCAAGCAGGCCATAGACGCAGCGGAGGTCCAACAGGTCGGAGACGCAGCTGAGGTCGCATATCCCGAAGAGACTGCCAAAGCCGAACTGGCCAGGACAGCAGCCCGAGACGGGAAGGCTAGGGAAACAGCGGAGCAAACAGAGCCCACATGGACGCTGTATGTGGACGGTGCGTCAAGCAAAGAGGGATGCGGAGCAGGGCTTCTCCTAATCAGCCCTACAGGAGAGGAGCTGCCTTACGCGTTAAGGTTTGATTTCAGAGCCTCTAATAATGAATCTGAGTACGAGACTCTCATTGCAGGAATGGAGATGGCTCGGAAGTTAGGGGCCAGATCGTTGAAAGTCTATAGCGACTCGCAGCTGATAGTTAACCAGGTATGGGGGAGCTACGAGGTCAAAGAGGGGGCGCTGAGAAAATACGTGGCCAAGACACATGAGCTGAAGGGCCTGTTCGAGCAGTTCGTGCTAGAGCAGATCCCGCGGAGTCTGAACAAGAGAGCTGATGCCCTGTCCAAACTGGCCTCCACCTCGGTGGGCACCCTAGGTCGGGAAATAGTTGTGGAGGTCGTCAGGAGTCGTGCATATGACCAGGTCAGTGCTGCGGTCATCCAGGTGGTGAGCTCCTGGATGGACCCCATTGTTCGATATCTGGCGCAGGGGGAACTCCCCCCGAGCAGGATAGAGGCCCGCAAAATTCTACTTAAGTCGCAGAGGTACACGCTCGTGCAGGGAGTCCTGTATAGGAAATCCTACTTGCAGCCCTGGCTGAGGTGTATAACACCTGAGGAAGGGAGCTATGTCTTGCGCGAGTTGCATGAGGGCGTCTGTGGCAATCACGTTGGCCCCAGGGTATTGGCCAAGAAGGGAATGCTGGCCGGCTACTATTGGCCCACCATCTTCAGAGACTCGACCGAGCTGGTAGCTCGGTGTAAGTCTTGCCAGCTGCATGCTCCAGTTCATCACGCCCCAACTCGGGAAATGATCCCTCTTCATAGCCCGTGGCCGTTCTTCCAGTGGGGAATCGACTTGCTAGAACCTTTTCCCCGAGCTCCCGGTGGCTATGAGTACTTGGTAGTGGCGATTGATTACTTCACCAAGTGGATAGAAGCTGAGCCGCTTAGCACGATCAGTAGTAGGTCGATACATAAGTTCCTTTGGAGGAACGTAGTCTGCCGATTTGGCATACCCAGGGTTCTCGTTTCGGATAAAGGCCGGCAGTTCGCAGACCATTCGCTTCGGGAGTGGTGCACTGAGCTCGGCATCCAGCAGCACTTCACCTCAGTAGGGCACCCCAGACCAATGGGCAGGTCGAGAATGTAAACCGGACCATCCTGCACGGTTTAAAGACAAGGATCGAATCAGCTCGGACGGGTTGGCTGGACGAGCTGCCCACTATACTATGGGCTTACCGGACTACGCCTCGGACGGCCACACAAGAAACTCCGTTTGTCCTAACATATGGGGTGGAAGCAGTGATCCCTGCGGAAATTGGGATGCCTTCGGCCAGGGTACAATATTTTGTGGCCCAAAACAATGAGGAAGAGATGCGACTCGATCTCGACTTGCTCGAGTATCGAAGGGAAGAAGCGGCTATAAGAATGGCTAAGTATAAGAGCCAGGTCGCACGTTATTACAATGGCCGGGTGAGACAACTCTCCTTCAAGACGGGGGACCTGGTGCTGCGCAAAAACTCCCTGAGCCGCGTTGTTGGCACAGGCAAGTTAGACCCCAATTGGGAAGGTCCCTATGTGGTAAAGGAAGCTGACCGAGCAGGTTATTGCAGACTAGCTCGTCTGGATGGAAGCGAAGTCCCCCGCGTGTGGCACAACTCAAATTTAAGGCTTTTTCTCTAAGTGTCTTGCCCGAGCTGAAAATGGTCGGCTAGACAGGTCTGCTTTTATTTTAGTAGTTCGGCTTTTGGCGTTATGAATGTATTCGAAGCTTTGAAATAAAAGAAAAATTTTACAAGTGTTGGGAAAGAAAAAGGTTACATATATTCAAAAAACATGTACAGATGGGGGGCCATACAAAATCGAGCTGGCCAGCTCGGACCCTACTCTAGCCTAACATCCTTCCAGGATAGTCTAAAGCCCTATCAGCTTAACTCTCCCCTTGCTGCTCTTGCTCTGGGGAGAGTGCAGGAAGATTGGGATCGACAATCAGGGCCGCCAGGTCGCGCTCATTGGAGTAACCTGTGACGAGCCTGTCAATTTGGTTGGTGGATTGAGAGTTGTAGTCGGGCCATTTGCTCAGGTCAAAGCCTGGCAACCTTAGGGACTCCACATCCATCAAGGCTTTCGTGTAGCCGAGTTGCAGGACAGGGCCGTTGAGGAGGGCCAGGTCGTTCATGAAGATCTCAGACTTCTTGAACTCTTTGACGCCCAGTTGGCGCCCTTCTTCCTTTGCCGCCTCCACCAGTTCGGCAGATTTTTTCTGCTCTGCCTCTAGAGTCGCAGCCAGTTCGGCCGTTCTCTTCTTTTCCAGTTCGCAGGAGGAGTTGGCGTCTGCAAGTTGCTTCTTCAGGGTCTCCAGCTCGGACTCTGCAGCTTCGAGCTGGCTCGACAACTTCTCTTTGGCAGCATCAACCTGGGACAGGTTGACCCCCATGTTCTCATACCGCTGAGCCAACTCGGCTCCCGCAACATTGAGCTGCATGTTAGTTACAGGATAAGTAGGCAGCAAAACTCGAAAGGATGTCAGAGAAAGTGTTGGTTAAGAGGTTACCTGGGTGGTGCTGAGGTAGAAGTGCTCCAACAGCTCAGCGTTGGTGGCAAGTTGGATGAAGTGGTGATCGCGGGGGAGTACCGCGCCTTTGACGAGCTCCTTCGCCACTTCAGGGAATTGAGCTCGATCGTTCACCGACAACCCCCACTTCGGGCAGAAATGGTGGGGGTGCGGGTGTGAGCCCAGCTCGGTAGGGGGTTTCATGGGAATCACATTCCTCATGCGCCACATAGCGTGAGGAGATTGTGACGAAGCCTGCTGCTCGGCGGAGCTCACCCTGTAATGCGAGGCAATGGCAGTTGATGGCTCCTCCTGGGACTGGGGGGAAGCCGCCTCTGTCCTGGCCTTCTTGGCCGTGGACTTCTTTCTTTTCTTCTTTGGTCCCTCCCCCAGTGAAGACTGAGCGGCAATCTGGGGAGTGGACACAGGTGGAGGTGGAGGCACCGTGCTGCTCGGCGCTGTGGAAGGCGCAGGGGTTGGCGTGCTCGTACTGCCAATTTCCCCAATGTTCAGCAGCTGGGAAAACCTCTTCGCTGCAGGACAAAGACACTTAGTCAGTTAAGATGATGTGGACTCATGGAAAGGAGGAGGTCGAGAAAATTACAAGCTGTCAGCTCCTCGGGGGTGATAGGTCGGAGATCGGGGGCAGGGTCGTTCACCTCTGCTCGGATTAGCCCCGCCGACCAGAGCTGGGCATTGTTAAATTCCTTCACCTTCAGTTGAGCTTCCGAGCTGACCAAGCGGTCTAGCTCGGCCTCGGGCAGGGGAGAAGGGATTGGATCGGTTACCTGGGTATCCTCCCTCCAAGTTAGGGGAGGAAACCCAGTGTTCTTCACAAAAAAGAACTGGGCTTTCCAGCCCTTGATGGAAGAAGGCATCTGAGTGAACAGCTCGCGGGTAGGGAGTTCCCCTCCGCTCCTGCGAGCGAAGTAGGACCAACCATGCACTGGGCCGCTTACCTTCATCTGAAAGAAAGACCTAAATAGGTCCAGAGAATAGGGGATTTCAAGAGCTCGGCACAAAATAAAGAAGCCGAGGATGGACCGAATGGCGTTGGGAACGACCTGGGTAATTCGAACGCCCCAGAAGGTTAGGATGTCGTAAAGAAATTGGGGAATGGGGAGGCGAAGACCAGCCACGAGCTGATCTCTGTAGATAGCCACAAACCCAGGGGGAGGTCGGCAAGCGTACTCCCCTGGCCGGGCTGCCCGAGCCTCGAACTGGGGGAGAATGTCGTACCTCCCCACCAGTTCATCCACATCCCCTTGGTCGAGGAGGGGGGGGATAATCTCGACTTCCCCAAAGTCGATGTCTGGTCCCCTAACAGGACCTGCTCTGGCGCGAGCTGGAGCCACCTCCAGAGGAATCTCTGGGGCAGCAGCTCCAGCCTCGGGCTGAGCAGATGGACCAAGTCGGTTCATGGCTATAGCAAGGCTTGGGATTGGGGGAGGAAGATATTCGGACCCAGACGAGCTGGAAGGAGAAGGACTGGAGTCTGGTATTTCTATGAATACAGGTCGGGTAATCCTACGCCTAGGTGCTGAGCTGGTAAGGTCTGAGTGCGTGGAGGAAGACGACATAAAAGGAAAAAGAGGACTTACTGGTGGACAAAGGAGGAGAGCTGAGGTGTGCTTAGAAGGTAATCCTACTCTCGGACGACCTCACGGAATGCGGAGCGAGCTGGAGAAGGCTGGAGGAGAAGAGAAAATGAGAAGGAAGGCTTGAAAGTGACGTTTGGTGGGGCCTATTTATAGGCTCCCTGGGCGGGAAGCCGAAGAGTCCCGAGGAAGAAGTTCGAATTTATGGCAAGGGGGCAGTTACCTGGGAAGACGCGTGAGCTGACAAACCGCCATCATGAAGGACGTGACCCTTGAAGTGACGGTTACTACGACAGACGTGGCAGTTTCTCGGAGGAGGTACGTAATCATGGGATCGTGGGTCCTGCATGACCCCGGCGTGACGCTTCGAAATTTGGTCCAGACCCACGTGACTCATCAGTGACTCTAGACTCAAGGGGGCTAGTGTAGTGGGGGAAATCTGCACATGACACGTGTCAGCTCGGCAAGTTGTACGCGCTGGGTCGGCGGGGGTACCAGCTCGGCATGCGGGTGCCAGCTCGGCCCTACCTGTTGCTCCCTAAGATGGGCCTATGGGCCGCCGCCTCCGAACTTGTAGGAGCCGCCGCACGAAACCCTAAGGAGACTCCGAACCCTAAGGGGACACTGACTCCAACAAGGAAACTACAACCATTCCGCTCTATATATAGCGAGCGTAAGGACAATACAAGGTACGCCAAACACAAGTATTCTAGACTATTGCTCCGTATACAAGCTCACTGACTTGATCGTCGGAGATATTTCGGGGACACCCGTCCCGCACTTGATCTTCCTTTGTAGGTGCGCTAGCTCGGTTTCCTCTCTCAGGTCGATCGCGCCTGCTCAGCTCGGCTCGCTACAGCCCAGCTCGGATCTGGTTTTTGGCAGTCGCATCAAACTTCTTTAGCTAATTATTTCCTTTCTTTTCTTGATCTCATCCTTCGAGATGAAGTAATATGAACCAAAAAAATTTAGCAAAATAAAATTCTTTCTTCTTTTTTGGTTTTTATGTCACACCAGGAAGACATATTAGTACAGTAAAATTCCTTGGCGTATGCACATTTCTTCTTGTCTTCCCTACTGCTGCATAGTCTGCCTTCTGCTCAGCTTGCAAATGTTATCAGGGCTTTGCTTGGAAAACTCTGTTGTACCATATTGAGTGAAGTATCATGTGAAAAATATCATACTTCACAGGTGACTGATGCCACAGGAAATGCTGTCTTACCTGCTTAACCCTGTGCTGCATTACAAGATACCTCCTGTGTGATATTGACAGAAGTATAGTCTTCAAATTCGGTATATCCTTCTCAAGAACAAAAATGGCAAACTTTTCCCAGTTCAGAACTTCAAGGAAAGGAGGCACATAATTGTCTGATATAATCACTGGAACACAGCCGTAAATGATTGCCTCGACTAACCTTGGACTGTTGACTTCATAACCTCTCGCACATATGCAGAACTTGCTGCTCTTCATCTGTTGGATGTAGCTATCCTTACGCAACCGACCAACTATCTTCATGTCAGGATCTTTGTTTTCCCAGTGTTGTAGCAGAAGAGGTCGAACATAGCCATGCATATTACCAGCAAAGAAAGCAAGGATTTGCCTCTGAGAAGGAGGTTTACCTCCAAGACCTCTAGTTGAAAACTGCGCTGAGTGCACATTTGTTTCTGGAAGAGATAGATCCTTGCCCAACTGGAAGCCTTCTTTCATATCAGCATTGCATAGAGCTCTTATGCAATAAGCCATCAGTGTTTTAGTTTCCTCTGGAGCCTATAAATATGAGCAAACATTTAAAGACGCATAAACTTAGAAACTAGCATTTGATCATAGAGGAAGAAGACGGTCCTGAATTTCTCGTTTTAATAAGCTAGAAAAGCATGTGAAAGAAATTAGTTAGAAATGCCTGGTAAAATTGCTCCAATTATCCAGCTTTAGTTTACAAGCGTACAAAAGTGCATGAATACTTACCCAGTCATGGCAAGCAACCAGAAAATGGTCAGCACCAGAAGTTCTATTCCAGAAAGAGTACCTTGCTTTGATCATATCAAGGTAGTTTCTCAGATACTGTTTTAAAGTGTCCAAACTGTGAGAATTGGGCACGTATGCGATCTCTTCCAGAATTTGAGAACTGAAAGGGAAGTAAAATAGGAGCGCTTCTTCTGGATTAGTTGTAACATATTGTTTGCTTTCTTGCAGAAGATTCATGAACCAACCCTCTGAAGCATAAATTCCAGTGAGCCTAGGCTGGTGGAATACGGGTCTTTTCCCCTCCTTGTAGATAAAAATCTTAAGCGTTTGTTCCATTAACTCATAGCTCCTGCATTAATGGTTTGAAGTAGTCATACTATAGAAGCGTGACAATATAGTTGGTCATATCATACTGCAAAATGCAGTTCAATATAGCTGAAGAAATAGGCCTTCGTCCTTTTTCTTCTTTGTATAAGATAAAGTTGCCAAGAACATTTCAAAACTCTTGAATAACACTTCTATGACTGATGAAGTCTTTTACACCTAATAAATTAGATTTTTAAAACTCCTGTATCTCCCTTCTTGCCCAGACCTTCTACTCTGGGCTTTGCTGAAGTTTCCAATCCCTGTTAAGTAGATAAATTAACTTCCATCTTTTAGATATGCCACTGAATCCAGACAAAAATGCATTCTGAACTGCAAGGTTGCACACTTGCAGGTTGCAACTGAACTTCAGGTCTATTTCAATTAAGTTCAAATATTCTTGACATCAGGATTTAGAAGCACATGATCACCTTTTCCTATTAACAAGAGCGAAACAGAAATTACTAAAACCAGCATTTGTAGATTGACAGGCTATGCCATTTTCGACCAATCACATTGATGAAATCTCACTGTGTCTGAGATTATTCATGGTCAGGTCTGAAATGAGCCAGTAGTACTTTCAGGAAAAAGGATAAGTTCTCCAATAGTCTATTCTACGTGAGAAACCTCGTATGCCACCACAGCATTCATATAGGGAAACTGAAGCCAATAGCAGGATTTCTTTGATGAAAACATTTTAGTCTAAACACTGAAACAATGCTTAGATAAGAGAACTTCCAGAACCTATTACTTTCACTTTTCAGCTTCTTTCTATTTGTCTCTCCTGTATTTTTTTGGCAGGCCTCATGCATGATCATGACTTTGAGCATAAATATAGTAGTATACTGATTATTGCATTGGAAATAGTTATCATCGCAAAAATTCCTACCTGAAGAAAGAATAAACATTAAAGAAGTAAACACAATGGATTTGTAAAGACAAGGGATTTCCTTACAAACAACTTGAGCATTCTCCGAATTTGTCATCCATCTATCCAACTTAGAAACTCATTAGCTTGCAATTAAGTGAAAGAGAATTGCTATTGTAGCTGAAATTTTTATGCTATTGATTAGGCTCATAAATTTTCATTCAACTGTGTGGTCTCAACTCTCGACCATAAAATGAATGACCAAAAATGTGATCTTTAAAGAAACAGTCAGGTCACTTTACACCAAGATTGAGAAAAATGTCTCTCATACCTGAATGTTCAAGGTGGGAAGGGGCTGCAAGAAGTGTAGATAAAGTTTACTCCATGAGATGCTAGCCTCATGGTGTCTGTATCACATTTTAGATTTTTCGAGAATCCAATCTGAATAAAATCTAGTGTGACTATCGAAATCATCTGAATCAGGAAAAATCAAGCTGCTATCTACTTACCTCTCAAACCTTGAAATGTTCCAGTAAATAGGAGCATATAAGCCGGATTTATCCTTGACAGTTTCCACTTTTTCCAGCTCTAATCTTGCTTTGAGCAATTGTTTATCTCTATCTGAAGACGGTAGTATCTAATGACAGATTTAAAGAGGAGAGGAAAGCATTAACAAAGGTTTTTTATGTCAACAACAGCTCGTTCCAAATAACATTGAGGTGAACGTACCGTTGAATTGGGAGGCGATGAAGTAAGACTCTGAAACATGTAATTCAGCTCCCTTATTGTCATCACTGTTCTTTCTGTACTTTTGGTTGTTTTCTTGGTAGCGGGAACAGCTTTCTTCGAAGAAATTCCACCAATTAAGGCAAACTGACTCTGCTGCTGTCCAAGCACTGCATCTTTGTCCAATGCAGTTGTGTTGGAGAGAACTGATATCCTGGCACTACCAGAATCGTCTTGATGCTCTGACATCCCCTGTGCTAATGTAACATTTCCTGACACAACGCTGTCATTTAGCTTTCTCATTTCATCGCTCAAGGCAATATCTTCTACCTGGATGCTACCGGAAGCAGAATTCATGTCAGTGTTAACGTGTGTTGCTGCAAATCTGTATTCATATTCTCTTCCCTTCTCTGTCTCTACACTGTTGTTTCTTTTCCTTGTACTGAAAGTTAAATTGTGATACAAGTCCTCAAGTGACAATTCGACTTCAGAGGCTCTGTCATCGTTTATTTTATTGGAAGCAGCAGAACCTCCATTTTTTTCTGATGCAGATTGATTCATTGAATAGCTGCTGCTTTTATCCAGAGCGACAGAGAAATTAGCTACCCCATCAGCACGATCTTTTTCAGTAAAATGTGAGTAATTCTTGCCAGCAGAAAAGAAGTTTGATATAACATGTCCATAAGGAAGTTCAAAATACTGAAGCAGTAGAACTGATGCCAGCACCAGTCCAATGAACCAAAGAAGCTTTCTATTTTCAAACGAAATTTCACGTTCCCTGCGGCCCATTATCCTGATTAATTCAGAGATATTCTAGACACAGATGATTCCTAACAACTTCAAAGTCGAAAAAGTCCAAATATGTCACTCTTGATGAAGCATGAATTCACACCAATGAGATCAAAGTCATACAGGAATACAACTAGCATGAATTCACACCATTGAGAACAAAAAAGCACTTCCATGGTATTAGCCCCTGCTTTTCTCTTTCTAATCTCGATTTCCAAACAGATCCTGAGTGATTATGTTTCTTCCCTGTAAATTTGCCAGCCATATGGAACATAAAAGGGGGAATTACATGGTTTGAACTTCACACTAAAAGCTTAAATATCACACATCACGGATTCTTGACTAGTAAGACTCTCGAGTGAGTGCTGATAGTACTAACATGCATCTCAAGAAAGAAGAGAAACAGCAGACTGACAGCTGTAAAACCTGCAAAGAATCAAATGTATTTACCTCAAGGATGCTCATATATGAAATTCCAAGTTGCTATTTGCCTTAGTTTATTGTTAGCAATGGAAGCAAAACAATCCATCATCCTACCCATAAATGGCATATTTAGAAGAGATGTGCATGGTCTCCAAGTTTTTCACTTTTTCTGCTTTGGATTTGGTTTAGTTTTAGAGTTGCTGTCAGGTGCCTTGTTGGCAGCAATTTGGCTTTCCAAGAATCGGTTATGACTTGGAAGCCATAAAAGTACAAAAGAGTGCCCCTCCAGCTATGGTTTTTTCCCGTATAGTTGAAAATTTTCTCAGGCAATTTACTATGATGAGCAGCAGCATACTGGGAAAGTCTAAATTTTGCGGTTTGACATGTTAATTAATTTGAAACGCATAGAGGGTAGCCATTGCTGATTATTGACACAGAATCCGTTTTGTAACTTATATTACTGACCAATGACAATGGATTATTTTTGGTAACTGCCACCACTGTAGCAATAATTGATATTCTTTTAATTGCCATTTTGTGCTGTCCTAAGCAAACAGTTTGTTAAAAAGAAAAAAGGATTTTGTGGGATTGGTAGCAAAATATCTTTTGTTATTGCATGTGATTAATTCAAATTTAAGTGGGTAGAACTTGAAGTTTACAAAAAAAGGAAGAGAAATATGTGTTGAATGGCAATCGAGGAAGGAAAATATATAGTACTTTGCTGTAAAAATTACCCTTTTTTTCCCATGACTCTTAACTGCTATTTGTTCAAAGTTCAATATCTACCTACTTAAAGTAATTACATGCATGATGATTCTAAGCAAAAAAAAAAAAGAAAAAGAAAAAGAATATTGGTATTTCAATTTATTTTATCCAAAAAATTTTAAAAATAATTATTCTATAGTAAAAATCAAACCTCATGCTTTGGATATCCAAGAACTCCTGTGGTAATCTTCCCTTATAAGCCCTATAGGAGGGCATTTTGGTTAACTCAGATATTTTAATGGTCAATTTGATGAGTTGGATTGAAGTAGGGAGTAAAGTGAAAAGAAATAAATGTTAGGGGGTAAGCAACACTTTGACCAAATTTTAAGGGACAATTTTGAGATTAACCCAAAAATAAGTGTTGGCCAAAGTTTTTAAATTAGGGACTTGAATGGAAAAGTCCCTAAAAAATTTTCAAAATTCGCTCAAGCCCTTATTTTCAACGATTGACCTTGATCAACCGTTCTTAGGGTAGTGCTGTCACATGGGATGACTTTTTTTTTTGGTTTTTTTTTATAACAAATATCTTATTTTGGAGGACCAAATTGACATTTATCTTAAATATTTTAGAAAAGTATAAAATTCCTCCAATAGACTATCATAGTTTTGGTCATAGGTTTTAGACCATAGTTAACGTTAATTTATTTATTTTTTTGGTCGAAATGATAGGATTGTCATAGTTAACGTTAATGGTGGAGATGGGTTTGATTTGCATTTGAGTAGATAATATTGATTTGAAGAGTACCAAAATTTTGTTGTAATTTTGTATGTTATTTTTTTTATTATCTACCTTTGTTATGTTAATATCTACATATATTATATTTATATTTATATTACAACATATAATTGTCACCGATGATCATAAAAATCCAGTTCTTTTTCTTGCCATGATCAAATATTTAGAGATAAATTACTATTAACTTGTGTCTAATATTTGGAATTTTTTTTATTTTTGAGAAGATCGTGATTTTTTAAAAAGTTAATAATGAATTTCAAGAAATCTCTTGAATTGCTATTTTCTCTAGTTTTTAAGCAATAAGGAAATTCGGACAAAATATTTGGGCCTATTAGCCACATTCAACCTTTTGATGTATGAATTGTGATTTCGCCCAACTTAAATTCCCTTCCAATTTCAAAAGTCCTAAACCCCAACAAAACCCCTTCTACAAACTCTCCCCAACTCTGGTACCCAATTACCCAAACCCAAGAATCCTCTCCTCTTCTACAAACAAAAATGGAGATTGACAGAGGAGATGGGCGCAAGCCAAATCAATTAAGACCAGTGGCTTGTTCTCGCGGCATTCTAAACCGTGCTCACGGCTCCGCCAGTTGGTCTCAAGGTACTGTATTTCTCCTCCCCCCGATAAACACCTCAACTCATTTCATGAGCAATTCGTTTCGCAGATGGTAAACATTTTTTTTCTCAGAAAGCCCTTTTCTTTGATGGTTTCTCCATCAATTGGGACTTTCTGGACTTAATTGTGTGTCAATTTTAATATTTTTCACATGGGTTTTTATCACTTTTTTCTGCCTTGCTTTTCTTGAATTTTTTTTGTACCCTTTGTCCAAGTATGATTAAAGTTACGGTCTTTGGTTTCTTTAGAGAGTGAATTCAGGATTTTTTTTGGAATTTATGCTAGATTTTTCTTTATATTAAAGATAATTGTTTAATTTTTGCTCTGAAATTGAGGGATTAGGTTCATGTTGAATTCTTTACCCGTTCATATTAATTATTGGAAAATTTTCGTGTGTTGATGGTGTGCTTTCATCTCCCTGGTTTTGGCATTAGGAGAAACCAAAGTTCTTGCTGCAGTTTATGGACCTAAGGCTGGGACAAAGAAGAATGAAAACCCGGAAAAGGCTTGCTTTGAGGTCATATGGAAGCCTAAAACAGGGCAGATAGGTGAGATTCCTGTATGTAGATAGATTGGTCTTCCTTTTGTGTTGAAGAGTGGAGATATGTACACTCTTTTAATCTGTATAAACTTGATAAATGCTTAGGGAAACCCGAAAAAGAATGTGAGATGATATTGAAGCGGACTTTGCAAAGCATCTGCCTTTTGAATGTTCATCCAAATACCACCACATCGATCATAATTCAGGTGATTTTACTGAGCAGTTGAGTCAGTCATGACGTTTGATGATATAGACAACGAGAATAGTAGGAGTATTATAGTTGCTTTCAATATCCAACTAAAGTTCAGAATCACAATTTATAGGTTTTGGAGAATTGAAACTTTATCTTTCCAAAATTTGAATATGAAGTATGAATTTATGACTCTACTAGTTCTCTTGATTAATATAATTTGTATTACAACAATCACTCCTTACCAGAAACAGTAATAGTTTCCTAGCAAACCATTTTTGACCTAGGTTAGCTACTTACATCTGTATGTTCTATTGGTAAACAGCAAAGAGGCTATAGTAGTTTAGCAAATTTATAGAGCCATTAAAAGAATGCTCTGACAACAAAAAAGTAAAGAAAATGAAGCTGGAAAACTAAATCATGTTAAGTTAGCTTGACTTAAATCTAAAGGAAGTATTACTTATCATAAAGCATCGCTGAAGGCTTAACTCCAGTTCATATTAATCCATTGTCTGCCGAACTTCCCTTAAAATCTCAATCAGCATGTGGATTGTTGTTTCTTCTATATTTGTGGTACACATATTTCTTTCAATTTGTGATTCTCAGGCTGTGGTGTTATCATTAATTGTCTTACTCTGAGAATTGTGCTTACGGGTTCTGAGAGACGTCAAGCATGAATTTTATTTTATTTCGCAGGTTGTAAATGACGATGGCGGTGTATCCTTCATGATCATAGTTATCAATTTATGATACTGGCCTTAAACTTTTTATAGTAAGAATATCTTTCCTTCCACTAAACCATGTTGATTTGGTGGCAAATTTGCTTTGTCCGTCTTTGAGGCTATATATTCAGGTTAACTGTTGGCATAATAAGTTTCAAGTGTAAAGGGAGCTTGCTGCTGATTAACTAGAAAAGTCAAAGCAAATAAAACCAGAAGAAACGAAGGGAAAAAGAGTGAAAATTAGGATTTTAGTCGACCTTGTTAAGAAACTATTCTCAGTTGGAATCACACGGACTCCTTTCCTTTTTTCTTTCTTTATTTTGTTTGGATCACATTCGTTTGTAAGCGATATTATTGTGATTGTAACAATTATGACTGCTTCATATAAACTTTTTGCACCATTTTACTAGATTTTTCTACTCCTTTGGTCACATGTCCAGAAACTAAACACCTTGTAGGGGATTTAAATTTGGATATGCACTTCACTTTCGTCAGGTAGCATCCTTCTAAGGAGGGATACTTTATCTTTTAGTTGCTATGGACATTAAACAATTCTTGCAGTATTCATGCACCACTTCTTGCTAAATTGCCGTACTTGTCTAAAGATTGTCTTCTCTCTCTTGCAACTTCCTTTATTTGTTGATGTACTCCTTGATTACAGTTTTTAAGCTTCTCCCATGTGCCATCAATGTGGCTTGTGCTGCCCTTGTGGATGCTGGCATTCCTTTGAAACATCTTGCTGGTAAATGATTTTTTTTTTTAACTTTCCCCCTTATTTCTAGGTGAAAGAACTAACTAATTGGTACTAATCGTTTTTGCTGGATACTTCAGTTGCAATATGCTGTTCTCTAGCAAAAAATGGACGGGTTCTTTTGGATCCTAACAAGTCAGAGGAACAGGTGAGTTTCTTTTTCTTTGTATAATTCATTCTACTACTTGACGAATTTGGATGTACTTGTTTTCAATTCTGTGTCTGTTTTCTGTTTCAAAAAAATATATAGCTCATTTATGTCATCGTTTCTGAAGTATTGTACTCCTGGAGTAGTTCATTCCAATTTCTTCATGAAGCATTGTTCTTGTGCTTTTCTTTTTTCTTTTTTATTATTATATTTTTATAGGAACACGATTACGAAACTTTGTTGGTGAAGATATGTCTTAAAATAGCTATTACTCAGTCATATGTACTAACCTGCATCTTTACTAGCATTGTTTAACAATGGCAGAACATGAAAGGATTTGTATATTTAGCTTTTCCCAACTCGATTCAGTCCGTGCTTCCTGAAGGATCATTACAAGTGGGAGGTGAACCAGTGGAACATGGGATTATTACATCTGTCACACATGGTGCAATGTCAGGTGCTTGCCATACATCTCTCTGAGTCTCCAGTTTAATAACTTGAGCTTCTAAACTTCTGTTTTGGGATATATGGAATGATTGCTATCACACACTGAGTGTTTAATCTAGGGCGGCTCTTGATGATAGCAACCTTCTATAATGTGACAGCTGTGCTGTAAGCTGTATAAATTAGAAGTCTAGTGTTGTTAGCAGTTTGCAGGTTTCAGTTCTTAAGTTGGAAAATGCTTAGTGATGAATTTTGTCTTCCAATGCTTATTTATGGTATGATTCTGATATTACACTTTATGGAGTTGTTTACATTTTGACCCTGAGGGATTTGGCTAAATGACACAAGGATTCAATCATGTTTCAGAGCTAAAGTACAACTTCGTCAATGAAGGGTCAGCAGCAGTATTAGAAAGTAATAGTAATAGAATTAATGACAAGTATTCGAATTAACTTGGTTATGAAATAGAAAAAGATATAAAAAAAAGTAGGACATTGATACAAGGCAAGGTGCCAAAAAGGTTACCAGCCCTTTGCATATTACTGCTATCCTCAAGCTGCTCTTGCCTGTCCATTGCCTCTAGCCCAAGTCTTGCTCCCTGACCAATAAAGCAACCTGACCCTTTCACCTTTACCCTCCCCAGCCATAACTGACATTATCACAATCCTTCCGAAATTCATCTCTTTGCTAGACTAACTACCTGGTTTGGCCTAATTTCGCACTCCTGTTGCCGCTGCCAGCCCCTCACCTGCATCCCCCAATATTCTTCCAATCAATTGACCTTCGATTCTCCACCCCCAAGTGCTGCAATCAGCTTCAATCTCCACACTGCCATGCTTGTTTTCCTTTCCCATCGTATCGGATTGTGTGTTTTTACACAACCACAGATGGTTAAACATACTTAAAATCATACACTATTCATGGTGCAGAGAAACCGATAGTAGTCCATGTTTCCTAATAGACATGCCAACTGGATATAGTGATTCACATAGACACCCCACCTTCACATGCATTAGCAGGAAAGTGAAGAGTGCTGCTTGGTGAGAATCTGTCAAGGATGTTGAATGTTGATTGTTGGACTTTCTTCGAGGAAAACTTGTATGCTGGTGGTTTTGGTTGGAGGTTTGGGGAGAAGAAGGCATTTGTGGTGGTCATTGTGTTTATGGCAAGGCATTTTGTGCGAGGACTGTCGGAAGCAAAGAAAGTTTTTCTGTTGTAATTTGTAGCGTTATTATGCTATCTTAGTGGGTGTAAGAGTCATATTGTAGATTTTATTTCCTTTTTCACTCTTTTCTTTGTACTGCCAAATATAACTGTCTGTGGCTGTATTGTCTACAGTGGATGATTACCTTCTTTGTCTGCAACGAGGACGGGCTGCATGTGAGAAGTTATCTGTCTTTATCAGAAGCAGCTTAAAGTGACACATTCCAATTCACCTGTACAACTTTTGTGGGAGTTTAGGAGGCGAATCATCAGTTTTCTTCTACCTCGGCATCCTCGACTGCTAAATGTTTGACAAGCATTGTTTTCTTTTGGTTGAAATTCCATTTGAGCTTTTGTTATGGGGTGTGAATCGGCTTGCATGAGCCTGTGATGCCATGTACTGATAATCTTCTAGATTTAGCATGTTTCGTCTGTAATCAGCACTGGATGAATGATGATGTATATCTCACTACAAAGTTCCTTTGCAAGACTACTTATTTTACCCATTTTGTCACTTTTTAAGTCGGTTGTTTTAATCCAAACCAACTGAAGATAAGCCATTTTAATAGCAGTGCTTGGAACCTGATATTCTTTGTTTTCTGAATTGCAACAAGATACCGATTTAATTCTATAAATGCATCAAGAGCGAAGCTAAAAGTATAAACAAATTAGTCTATACGTTAATAGGCAAATGTATAAACCCAGAGAAACTAAGAAGGATGCCCTAATAAAAAAAAAAAAAAACTCTTTAAGATCTGCCAATTTTCAATAGTAGTTGTGCAGACTTGTTATCTAATTAGTTTCTAGGCACATTATTCAGACCTCATATACATATTTTTTGGGTTGGAGGCTACGCTGCTGATTAGGAGGGTGTAAAAATGAGTGTATGCCTATGGTAACTGTTTACCAGAAGTGACTGCAAGAAAATGAAGTTTCCTTAGGTGGACTCCATCAGAATTCACAGGGCTTCAAAGACTTTTGGAAACGATTGATTACTAATTTTAGTGGGAGCTAGTAAGACGAGGATTTTCGATAAAAAGTTTCTAATACTTGATAGGAGTTTTTTTTTTTTGTTATATATATAAATACAAAGGATAAAATCCTTTAGCTAATTTGCCACCCACCTTCTCCTGAATTTTTTCTTACCTAAAGTCCTAATTAATACCTATTCTAAAAGTTTTCATAGAATATTTTCATTTAGCATCTCATCCTACGTTAATTCTCATTTGGTGATTCTAAAATTCATTTGTTGCAAGTGCTGTGAATATTTATGAATTGTCCCCCTCCCAACCCCACCCCCCCCCCCCCACAATTAAAAAAAAAAAAAAGAAAAAAGAAAAGAAATCCAGGCTTTGCCATTGCTCCGAATATTCCACAATTTGATCCTAACATATGAGGTCAGTCTGCACTAGTATTTTGGTATGACCTTTCTACCAATAGTGCAAACAACGGTCCCTTATCTTGTCTCAAATGAGGCATTACACTTTACTAAACCAGTTGATGACAAAAACCAATTTAGCACGTTTTTAGGTGTTCATTGCAATTGACAATTACGTGCTCTTTCTTCTCTTCTTCTTCTTCTTCTGCTTCTTCGTTTTCAACATATGCCACTCTTGTCTGACTTGACCAAGTCTAATGGTTAAGGAATTTTCTTGGCAAAGGGGTGAGGAATCTTGAGAAGCAGACCCGGAAAATCATTTGATTCTCCATTCATAGAATCGTTTGGTTCCTTGATATTTTCTTGGTTAACTTTATAATGAAAATTTCAATTTAGTAATGTCTTGTCTTTCATTTATAGGGCACCTTAGTCAGAGATTACTTTTCCTTAAAAACAAAACAAAACAAAATACTTTTAATTGCTCAAACAAAAAATGTTCTGCTAAACAATAGGGATCACACTAATCACTCTCGAGTGATTTGACAAATTGTAAGAATTGATTCTATCATGGTCTTTTATCAGTATAATGTTGGTCGGATTTGGTATGAAATAATGAAGTTGTAAATTTATTAAAGGACAAGCGGCCACTAATGAACTTGAATAGTAGGGGAACCACACACAAATCATTCTTGAGTAATTCGACAGCCTCAAATAAGTAATCCAACTGAGGTTCATCATCACTATATATAAGTTTGGCTGTATTTGGAGTATTGAGAAGCAAAAATGGCTTGATTCCCTTTTGTAGGATTTTCCTTATTCGTCTTTTCTTGTTTTCGTGTGAAAAAGGTGACGTGATTTCCTATGGTCTTTTAGTCTTAGTCTGTCGCTTTCTGCCAACTAGCTATGACAAACACGTAATTCCACTATTGGTTGAAGAAATGTTACATTAATGCATTGAAGAAATGTTACATTTAGAGTTTGAATTCTATGCGTAACAGTTGGAGGTAGAAAAGAGTGGAACGGTACAAAAAATAAAAAATGCATGCTTTATGCTCATTTTTGCGCGATCATTGCAGATTGTTCTCTTCAGATTCTCAATTATCTGGCATTTTGGATATATACACACACACACACACTTATTGTCCATGATTTTACGGTCTGACAATTCCTTTATTTTTGTAATCGTTAATGAGCATTCGAATGGCCTAACTCATATTCACTCCACTTTTTAATGTTTAGGCACTTTCCTGGTAAAATTAAGTCTGGGAAGCCTTTTAACAAGTTTTCCCTGCTAGACAAACTCAAAATTTTCAAATATCTTCTGAATGCTTGAGGCTTACTAAATGCATCCAAGTATTAAAGAAGCCATATTGAAATGTAATCAACTTGGAATTGTTTGAAGAGTTAAATTATTTGTCTCTTTATACTGATTAATTTCAATTCAATTTATCTGTACTGTTTCACAAGCTCTTATGGGGTGGTCATTTACAAGGCTTTTCATCAAGAGTTTAGCCGGGATTCAAGAACGGAGCTCTCCTCTTCCGAGGTCTTGAAGTTGGCCTGTGGATTCTTTCTATTTTCTCAGTATTCATTGTAGATTTTCTGATAACGATAGACCTCAATTGAGTTGCCAAAGATGACCAGTCAGTAGGGGTGTGCAAAATTGAAAAATTTCGATTTACCGACCGAATTCAATTTGAATTCGGAATTTCGAATTCGGTAATTCAGAATGGAAATCGGAATATTCGATTTCGAATTGGTCGAATTCGGTAATGAGATTTTTCAAATCGAAAATTCCGATTTCGAATTCACAATTTGAAATTGAATTCGGAATTCCTATTTCGATTTCAAATCTGTTTTTCATATATATATATATATGTATATAATATAACATTTATATTATAATAATAATTTTTATATTCATGAATTCGGTGAAATCGGAATTCCTATTTCGATTTCAATTTCGTTTTCACACACATATATATAATATTTTTATATATATATGTAATATAATATTTATATAATAATACTAATAATTTTTATATTCATGAATTCGGTGAAATCGGAATTTACCGAATTCCGAATTGAATTCGGAATGAATTCGAATTCGGAATTGGTGAATTCAAAGTCGAAATCGGTCGAAAATTCTGATATCAAAATTTCGAAAAATTTCGATTTCAAAGTTCCGAATTACCGATTTGGATTTCGATTCACACCCCTACCAGCCAGCACTTTCCATTTTTATTTTCTAGTAATCAGCTGAAAACCATTTACTTTCGTTTTTTATGTTTCCTGACCGATCAGGTTGATGATGTATGAAAGCAAAGGATATGCAAGGATTGGAGTAATGCCGCAATATGGTGATGCTGATTCTGTCAAGCGGTTCTAGGTTGAAAAGTGCAGTTCATTCCACGTTGACAATTGTTTTGAAGATGGAGAGGAGGTGACTAATTTGTCATAGACGCGTCGATATGAAACGAATTCCTTGTTGCATACATCAATTGTTGAAGATGGAGACAGGTAACTAATTTTCACATTTTTTAAAATACATTTTTCAATTTTTTTTAATCTTATGCACGTCAAATCGTTATACTGTATTTAAAAAAAAAAAAAAAAACTCGAGACAATACCAATCCAAACGGGTTATAAATGATTTGGGTTGGCTAAATTTGGAATATGAAAAAACCAGGTTGTAGTGATTAGATGTAGAGCTGATCGAACATAAATTACACTGGGACCTGAATATGGCAGGGACAGAATTGAGCGGTTTTAAGCCCTAAATAGGGTTGAAGATACTGAAAACCCCTTCACAAGACGGAACTCTATTTACTCGCGTCCGCGAATATGAGGTTGGACATGAAAACCGGTGAGGTGAAGAATATAATTAATTAAGACGGATTGACTTCCCCAATAATTAATGAAAGTTTTCTTGGTGTCAAGGGTTCATATGGCTGCACACAACTTCTTGCTTCTTTAATCACATGCTTGGGTATGAAATTTCGTACCAGTCATGTGAAATGAACAATAGCATTACGCGGAAATTTGATATGTATAACGTTGGGTTGGACGAAGACAAAAAATACGTTGTTTTCACGCATGCATGCTGACACAGTGCAAAATCACGATATGGGTTGGACGCTGCGTCAAAGAAATCTGCCATAGCTACATAAACACTGCCGTCAGTCCAAAGGGAAGAGACGTGCACTGCTTTGATATCAACCAACAACGTGATGGTTAAGGAAGCAACCTAGTCGCGGAACATGCACAGACTATGCAAGCTAACTCAGACTTTGTTGCTATAAGGATGGATAGAGAAATGTGTGTTGCACGTTGTAACTGTTTATTCTCTTGATAATTACTAAAATAATTAGTCCTCCAAAATTAATTACAAGAATAGAAGTTTTAACAATTTAGAGTATTGCAGTGCTATTAACTTCTTTTTTTTTTTTTTCTTTTTTTGGTAAAAATTGACTTACTTCTCTAATACAACATACATTTTATAGTTATATTTAGTTAAAAACTATATGGTGAGTGAAAAAATAAATTATACTTTTTATGTGTTCCACAACTTTAATTTTGAACTTTGAAGGTTTCTTTATTTGAGATTTTTCTTCCAATTTTCGTAATTTATCTTTTTCAATACTTTATTTATTTATTTTTAGGTTTAAGGCATTTTCAACAAGCTTAACGGTCAAAGGCGTGTTTAATAAGCCATATTGAAATGTAATCAATTTGGAATTGTTTAAAGAGTTAAATTTTAAGTAAAGCACTTGTTCATGTTTAATATACATGTTAAATATCATTAACAATTCTTTGACAAGCATAGTATATCCTGTAGTGAATTTATAATTCATAAAGATTTAAATCAAACTCGTTTAGTAGGCACCTCACAGTCTTTGCTCAAACACTAATTTCTGACCTACAAAACAAAGTCAACTTTAATCCACAAGCCTTTTTTTAAAAAAAAAAAATTTAGCTCTTTAGTTATATGTCCTAACATCTTGCTTTTATAAATGTTCACTATGTTCAAAATCCATTTACATTGATACTGAAAGCAAATTAAATAGTCACAATAACTATGCTCGATTATTTTACTTATTTGAATGCAACAATTCAATGAACTAGCAGTGTGACGA